GAATTCCAGTGTAATGCAAGCTCAACAACATAAGAGAAATCTGTCAAGTTTTCTTTATTTGGGTAAAACCTTTGGTGACCTCAATTCAATCATGTTGACTTCCCTGATTTGTACAGATAATCCTAAATACTTACAACAGTTCATTTACAAAGTTACAACGGCACTGAAAAAGTGACTTATGACTATTTTTCTCACAACCATTGCAGCATCTCCATGGTTATGTGAACAAAATTTGGATGTTTGGCAACTGGTTCATATTTATGACAATTGAAATGTCCCGGGGTCATATGATCACCTTTTGTGACCTGATAAAGTCAATGGGAACGCCAGATTCACTTAACATCCATGTTACTAACTTAACAACTGCAATGATTCATTTAATAACTCTGGCAAGGTCATAAAATGGGACAAAATTCGCTTAATAGACTTCTCACTTAACAACAGGAGTTTTGGGCTCAGGTAGTCCTGTATTATGCATACTGATTTCTACTATGTTTGTTTTTTGTAAAATGTAATGATGCTATTAAAATGATACAGATAAAAAATTATCATTCTTAATATGAAAGTGGAACTTTCAAATTTCATTTTTTCCCCCTGTGGTTTGTGAAAAGTCTATTCACAGCCTTTACAATTAAGTAAGACTCTAAGCTAAATTACAGTTATGCCGGTAGGCTAAAATACAATCTTACCTGTGAAATGAAGGTAAAACTTGGAGAAGTGCACTTAAAAACCTAAGAAGAGCTCTGCTTATATTATCGACCCAACATTTCCTTTGACAGTCAAATCCCAAATGCACAACTGAACAAAAAGTGTGATTGCACTTTCTCCTTGTGTTCTCTAGAAACAAGTAATTGAAGATACATGAAATGAAAATAATCTACAGGTCAGAATGCAAGTAGCCATCCTGACCTATAGATAATAATAGTTTTATTTATCTTTTCATCCCTTATTGGCATTTTAAAAAAATGTTAACTCTTTCTCCTGTGGTCTCCTTGTAAATTGTTAGATCTGATTATTTGCTTACAAAAAAAAGGTCTAACTGAAGTTACCGTATTTTTCGGAGTATAAGACGCACTGGAGTATAAGACGCATTGAAGTATAAGATGCATCAAGGTTTTGAAGAGGCAAATTTTTTAAAAAAGATTTTGCACTCTGCAAACCTCACGAAAACGGCCTGTTTTTCAAAAAAATGGGCCTGTTTTTTTTCCCAAAAAAGGCATGAAGAGCCTTTAGAGGGCTTGCAGAGTTTTCCTGGGGGGTCAGCTCCCCACCAAAATGAGCAAAAATGGCCCATTTTTCACAAAAACGGCCCATTTTTCACAAAAACGGCCCTGTTCTTTATAAAAGAAATTGCATGCATAGCTGTTCTGTCCCCCCTTCATGGCTCTTAACAAACGCAAGCAGACAAACTTAAAAGGAAGTCTTTTTATCAGTTCCAACTGGCTTTGAGCCCCAAAATAACATAAATACAAGTCTCCGACAAGAATGCAAAACAAAACTCTTACAAGCAATGCACTTCTTCCAAAGTCTCCATGAATCAGGGTTACAGGAAACACCAAAGCACTTATCCAAGTGTATTAAGCAATGTTGTACGCACGAAGGAACGTTGACTCCTGCGACTAGGGCGTGGCAGCATCCATCCTTTTATCTCCAAACCTGCCTCTCACAAGCCCCAGCTGCATGATGAATCTTATATCCCGAAAAGATTCACAGCAGACATCTGCTGAGTCACAACACATAGCCTTTAATAGGCTTATAGCTCGGGGGGGGGGGGAAATTGAGCAAAAAACAGCCTGTTTTTCACTCATTTCTGCCTTCCCCAGCTCTGAAAGCCTTCTACAGGTTCTGCACAGCCATTTTGGTGAAGACGACAGGGTTTTGGGAGGCAAAAAAATATATGCTGTATTCAGTATATAAGACACAGATTTTCAGCCTATTTTTTGAGGTGAAAAGGTGCGTCTTATACTCTGAAAAATACGGTACCTTTATACAATGTTCTAATGTTTACTGAATAATATACATATGAAAAGAAAGTGGCAGCACTGACTTCCTAACTATAAAATAACAATGTATTTATTTAGACAGTGTATATAGTCATCCTCATGGTGAATAACCCATCCCAGTGTAAAGTTTAAATAACAATAAATACAGTCAAACTATCAACTATAAAATGAACAAACTTATAAAAAAATAAATTACACTGGAAGCAATTCAAACAATATGAACCCCCAGGACTTAATGCCTGGAAGGACTCTAGGTTTTTCAAAGCCGTATCTGACTCTCGGAAGGAATACTAATTCATAGAGTAGGCATGTAATACCTACTCTATGCATCAAGAAGCCATTCTTTTAGGTGCCATAAGATGACATTGTTGAAGAAAGGGAACCCATTCTTGTTGGATCTTAACGGATGGATAATCAATCCTGCAAGGTCTTTATGAAGCTCTTTAATATATAAACAGCACCTTGAATTGCACCTAGAAGCCCACTGGAACCATTTGAGCTTGCAAATTAGTAGTATTACATGGCTGTACTGAGTTGTGCCAGTGCCACTGCATTCTGGATCTGTTGGAGCTTCTGGAGGATCTTCAAGTGCAGTCTTTTGTAGAGCACATTGCAATAATCCACATAAAGAAGACCCAGGTATGAGTGACCATGAATGATACCTCCTGATCTAGGACTGAGAACAACTGGCACACAGTGTCTGAGTCATAGTTGAAATCTTCTTGTCAAGCTTGAATCATGAATCTAGGAACATCCTCAGACCTTGCATTAGATTTTTTCTCAAGATGTAATTCTCAATACTATTCAGAATTAGAGGTCTAGGTAGTTTCAACATTCACAGCTACCTAGTAGGATTGAGCCTAATTCTGTTCTTCTATATCCAGACTCCCTAAGTCTCTAGACATTGATGGCATCACTCAGGCAGTCAGGGACTGTGATGTATAATTAGGTACCATCAGTATTTTTAAGATCAGATGGAACTACCCCTTCATTCAAGGATGAATTTGCTATGGACCCTGTCCATACCAATTAGGAGAGACATGGATCACACATTCCAAGAATCCTATCCACTTTCTCAATACACATAGGTTTGAAGTCTTTCCCAAGAATGATGTCAGACCATGCTTCAGTCAACTCATCAGGACCTGCACAACATGTGTTCAAGTCTGTGGACTAAAATTGTCCTTAGGAGTTAATTTCCTTAGGATTAATTTTTGAAGAACTTTTAACTTGTAAGAAGGTTAAATTCACCATGATTTTAGTTGCAACAGAAACGTGTTGACGCAGTACTTAGAATGCAGTATTCTAAGGCTCACTGCCAGGAGTTCAATCCTCACCAGCTCAAGGTTGACTTCCATCCCTCCAAGGTTGGTAAAATGAGGACCCAGGTTGTTGGGGAAAATATGCTGACTCTGTAAACTGCTTAGAGAAGTCCATAAAACACTGTCAGTGGTATATAAATCTAAGAGCTATTGTTATTTCAAGTTGTGTCACAATTATCTGGCCAATTCCTTATCTGTCTTTGGTCTGAAAAGGCTTCTCTTTCTGTTCTGTGTATTTCAAAGTACTCTACTCATTGTGTATATCTAGTAGAATGGGAGACTTGTGACTTCCCCATAAATACTTATGCTGAGAATTCATTGCAATACTAGTGCTGACAATTAATTGTTTGGGACAAAACAGAAAGATATTTTAAGGCTTGTTGCCTAATCCCATGGTTGCAAATTAAAGTGCAGTGACATAGAAAACAAGTCCTTTACAAGTCCTGCTTCTTAGAATTGTCTGAATTTTAAGTATTACTTTAGGGAAGTAGGGAATTTCTAATACAGAATAACAAATATGGGTTCAGAAAAGCTAAAAAGTGTTTTTAATTGAAGTGGAACATCATAAAAAGCATTCTAAAACCTGAAATTTGACAAGGCAGGAAAAACAATTTGTTCTGGCTATATAGTGATTTTCAGTTAGTTCATTTTTGTGAATAGGTAGGATCTGATCCTGGTTAGTTCATTTTTGTGAATAGGTAGGATCTGATCTTGGTGATTATATGAATTCCAATTTCTGTCTTTAAGCAAATCCAGAGCAAAGAAATGAGACATGACATAGTTGCCCTCAACTTCCTGCTGGCTTCTCTATTGACTTGGCTTGTCAGAAGCTGGCAGTGAAAATTGTAAATGGCAATCCTCTGACTCTTGGACACTGCAATGTTGTAATTGTGAGGCAGTAGCTGAGCACCTGGATCAGGATCATGTGACCAGGAGGGGGGAGCTTTGGAGACTGCTCATAAGTGCAATTTGTTCAATCCCATCATAAGTTTAAATAGTCACGGAACAAGTGGTTGTTAATTGAGGACGATCTGTAATAATCAAGGGAACTGATTTATAAGAGGACTCCAACTGATGTGTTATGTGTTATAGGGCAAGGACTTGGAAAATGCCTGAGATGAATGAATGAAGATGTGAAAAATAATTTGTTTCAAAAGCTGGAGTGGTCTGAATAGCCGTTTTGAATTGAAATGGGATGTCAAGCTCTATAGCAGTGATAGCTAACCTTTTTGTCATTGTGTGCCGAAAGCGCCCATAAAGCAATGCATGCACAACACCCCCCCATGTGCCCCGCCCCCCTGTGCATGCCCACGCTTTCCCTGTGCTTCCCCTGCTCTTGTGCCCCATTTTGGGCCTAGTAGGCTCCCTGCAGCCTCCTGGGACCAAAAACCCCTGCCCCCACGCATGCGTGGCAGAGACCCGAAAATCAGCTGGCACACATGCATACGCAGTGGAACTGAGCTGGGTCGTTGGCTCTATAGGTTTTGCACAATACATGTGTATTGTGTATTCTGTACCAGTGCTCGGTGATCTTTCTTGCTGGCATTGTCATTTTGATTGATGTTAAAGACTCCTTGGTTCCAAAAAAAGTAAAAATAGCCATTTCTATTTTTGTTGAACAGTTTTTTGAAGTACTGTTTTAATGATAAATCTGTGTTTGCATTGTTCTCCCTAGGAGGATCCAAATAATATCAACACACTAAAAAAGAAAGATCAACACAGCAATGGGGATGAAAAGTCACAAAACTTGGAGACCCTGCCTCCAGGTACTGAAGTACGGTAGTTGATTGTTACTTTTAAAATATCACACAGAAGTAAATATAACTAATATAACAGAAAAGATAGAAAACATATTTTGATTGAAGTGAACAGTGAAGTATTCTGCTTTAGGTATTCATATATTTAACCTGTAAGGATAAAATGTAAGAACCTTTGAAGGTATAGTTTACTTCATCTTAAAATTGACTGTATTCAGTGGAGCTTATTTTTGAGTAGACATCACAAGACTGTACTGTTAAAAGGAGAACTATTAACCCGCTGAAAAGATTTTTAAACAATCCATCCTGAATCATTGCGCAACAACAATTAGGATTCTGAAAACCCTACTGTCTTCTTATTGAAAACCTCTAATCTTCCTGACTGATTTTTAAAAAAAAAGATCTGAAATGGGAATGTTTCTGAAGAGTCAGTGGTACCAAAACATCAAATGGACTATGCTTCCTTTCATCTTTTAAAGTAAGCAAATCATAACAGTGAAAAACTTCACACACTAGCTTGCTGTGGAATAGAATTTTAATCACTGTTGGGACCAATCTGTGAAAAATAAAATTTATCACTAGTTAAGTGGCTCCGGGGCAGCTTTGGAATAGTTTTGATAAGCTATACCTACATAGAGTTTTTATAGATATTACACACAGATTGTAAAATGTGCACAATATAAATAATGAAAACCACAAAGTACAATGTATTAGACTTATTTTAGGCTCTAAATTTAGGACAGTATGATCTGCTAGTTTTCTGTAAAGCTTGGGTGAGTCAGCCAAGTTAGTCGCCCAAATAAAGAGTTGAATATGTAAGCTAAAACATAAAATTAAATAAAAAAGAGTAGGCATGGATTATTAAACCATGTGCAGTAAAACGAGGATCAAGAATAAAAGAATATCACAAAAATATAGATTGAATGTAAAAGTAGTGAGGAATAAGTTGAAAATACGTTATCATATGCAACCGAGTTCCCCATCCTTTCTGGCTTTGCGCACTGCCATTGGGGAGAGGGGAAGGGTCCATGTAAGCAGCGGGCATGCATGCACAGTTCCATTTGCACGAGCAGCGCGCCTGCGCCCAAATGCTCCCACTGCTCGTGCAAGTGGGGATGTTTGCTCTCATGCTCGCCCAGCATTTCCATGGCCCAATTCCAAACAGCTCAAGGCCCAGTAGTAGGTCACGGCCCAGGCATTGGGGACCCCTGATATACAGGGAATAATATGAATGGAATCACAAAACTTATATATGAAGTGAATGGGAAGACAGTTATATTTTAATTTTTCAAGTCTTTCTTTTGATGCCAGTTCAACCCATAGCTCCTCTTATTTCCTACCAGCAGTTTTTCCTATGGGAATCTAAACTAATACTCCTTATCAGCAAAGATAGTACAAGTCAACACAAAGTATTTGTTTGGACTTCTGTGTGGATGACTTGACATTGGTCCAGCCAGCAGGAAGACGTGGTTGAATGCAGGCTTGTCACACCTTTTCTAATAACTTGGGGATCAAATATCCATTTTCTTAAAGAGTTACAGTACCATGAGATTGAGTGGAAAGATCTTTGCAGGTATTTGTAAGATTATTCAAGGGTTTTTAATTGGGATATAAATAGCTTATATCAAATAACATTTAGTGGATGATCCAATAAGAAAACATTCTGCAAATACCAAAGGCAAAAATGATCCTAATGTACGTGTCCTATTGCCTTCAGAAGCTGTTCTTTGGAAACATTTGGTTTTTGCTGTGTTGTGTGCTAGTAGTGAAAGAATTTTAATATTCCAAACAAATGTTGTAGAGCAGGGAACCTGTTTTCACTACTAACAGCTAAGTTGAAGACAGATTGATTTACAGGTAGCTGCTAAAACATTTCCTACTCCAGCAGGAATAGATAAAATGGTATACTCAGTAATGCATTTGATGAAAGGTACAGTTATGACCCTGTTCACTTTTTACAAGCAGAGGTACCAAAAGATACAACCATACATCAGCTGTTCAGTTTCTGTTTTCTTTCAAAGCAAATAGCAGACCACAGTGGAGATGCCATCCAGAATTTAAAAAGTGACAGCGATGTTACAAGTGTAGGAGGTACAGCAATGTTTGAGTGGGCTTGGAAGAGAGATGTCATCTGCTAATGGTCCTTGAGAACTTGACTATATATTTCTATATACTGAAAAGTGTTTTTAACCAAAGCCAGAAATTATCTTAGGTTTTCTGTTAATACCAGTTTTTCTTCTTAGGAAAAGTTAGGTGGCAAGACTTTGACCAGGATGGTTATGTTGGAGTCACTATGGTCAAAGCTGGTCAAGACCCATATGCCCGCAATAAATTTAATCAAGTGGAGAGTGATAAACTACGAATGGACAGAAATGTTCAGGATACAAGACATGATCAGTAAGTACTACCTATCTTTAGAAACATATATTTGTTTCTTGTAACAAATAGTGCCTAAGCTGAAAAGTACCCGAACTAGAAAATGAATATTGAGCAAATTGCTCAGCTGCAGCTCTCAAGGAGTTCAGTGGTGGTTAGCTCAGATTGTTTGATCCTATTTATATTTCTGTCATAACATTCTCTGCTGAGTTGCAGTAATTCATAGCACTGAATGACAATTCTAAAACTATACAAAGCAATTCAAGAATAAATTATACAGTCTGCACAACTCCTGCTTGATTTGGAATATGCTAGAAAGGCAACGTCCTTGGTACTGTGTCAGCATTGGCATCTCAATTATTTCCCTGCTTGGCATTATTATGGTTTCTAAATCTTGCCTAACTGGGATGATGTTATGTGCACAACTGAAGATTTAATTTCACCCTTACTATTTTTAATGTCAATGTTAATCTGTTTTCAGTCTCTTTGGATGTTTTGCTTTATTTAACACTGTGCAAACATCTATTAGAAACAAAGTTGGCTTATTAATAATTATTCAGATAAATGTGCATGATAACAGCCTCACACATAAGGCAAAATCAAGATATGTATTTTTATTTTTAGGTTCCTTTTTACCTCTCACTATCTGTGATTCTGGAAAGCCCTCAAAACATGCCTTTTTCCCACAGGCCTGGAGATCCCTTGGCAACAGGGAAGCCTGCACATTAGTTTCATCACATGGAATATTCTGAATCCCTGTTGTGACCTTGGTTTTTTTTAGATTTATGTTTAATTGTTTTGATGTAATAAAGAAATAATCATCTTGCTAAAATTTAAAAAATACTGGGAACCGGGGGGAAAAGGTAGCATCCTTCAATTCTAAATTTGGTCTTCAGTTTTCAGACTAGAATTAGAATTCCTCAGATGCAAACATTGATGCCAAGTTACAAGCTTGTTATGCAGTTAACAAAAAACATTTGAAAACTGCTTCTATTGCTTATATTAAGGAAGGGTCCAGTGGCATGGGAAACATTCACCTGCTTTAATTAATTCTGGAATTTTGGGAATGAACAAAAGATGTGCCCAAATGAGCCCAAAAGGCTACTTAATATTTGGATTAAAGACTGCTGCAGCATATATGTTATAAGCTTGTCATTGAGATGAGCTGGGCAACCAGATCATCAGTCCTTTTGTCTATGAAATTTTTAGGCAGCTTAACACTTTGTGAGCCAAGTCGTTTATAAACATTTGGCTTTTGATTTACTTAGCCCTAAATTCCTCTTAGACTACTAAACTAATTCATTTTGATTAGCTTTATGTGGATCATTTGTATTTTTAATGATAGAATTTTGTTGAACTACATGTTTTTTCATGGCTATAGCTTGTAAGTTGTCTACCTCTTAAGGAAACAGGATATCAGATACCTAATAACCTGATTATCTGTTTTAGACCCTGTATAGGCTGAATGTTTTGTGAAACTGTAAATATGTATGTCTTGCCATCATACAGAGCCTCTTTCCCCAGGATTGATAAAACTTAGTATATCATGGATTGTAAGTGAAAAAAACATGATGCAGCATATTTCAGCAGTAATTCAGGTTGATTGTTTATTCTCACTAAGCAATCGTGGAAGAAAGCATTCTTAGAAATGTCTATGTTTATTAAGCTCTAAGACATTACAGAAAAAGAGACTTTCCCCTTCAGGCATTCTAAAAGCCCATTTAAATTAAAAAAATATAGCAAATAATTACACATGAATGGGAATTTGTATTTTTGGAAAAAAGAACAGTAAGTGTTCCATTTTATAAACTGAAAGGTTGGTACCAATAATGTCTTATAAGGATCAGAAACACATGAATACATAACTGATAAATACATAGTAACTGTCCCATGAATAAATGTCTATGGAGATTCTCAATCATCCAGGTCATGCTTGTTCCAAAGGTGTTTTTCAAAAGGCAACTGGACTTTCTTGGTTTTGTTCCCTGAAAATGTTTTGCTTCTCATCCAAGAAGCTTCTTTAGTTCTGGCTGAATGGTGGGGAATGGAAGTCCCACAACCTTTTAGGCACCAGGAACCAGTTCTGTGGAGAGAAGTTTTATATTCCTTAGCAGTCATTTGGTCATTAGATGAGTGCTAACTCAAGAAGCTTCTTGGATGAGAAGCGAAACATTTTCAAGGGGAAAAAAACCCAGAAAGCCCAGTTGACTTTTAAGAAGCATCTTTGGGACAACCATGAATATGACTCATACTTGCAAGTTGTCTAGATCAACAGTTCCACAACCTTTTAGGCACCAGGAACCAGTTCTGTGGAGAGAAGTTTTTCTGTGGACTGGAATGGGGTGTGATTTTGCATGCTGCCTGAATCCCATGGATTCAGTTTGTGTAGCCTGATTTCTGGCATGCTGTGGTGCCAATCCACAGACCAAGGGTTAGGGGCCCCTGATCTAGATCATCTTAGTGACAAGCTTGTAACATTTCCTGCAGTCTTCAAACTAAATATTAAGCAGCTTTCTGGGTTCATTTGGGCAAATGGAACCATAGCTTAGAGCCTTTTTGTCTTTCTTTTTAAGGTGTCAACGAAAACAATGGCGGATAGACTTACCAGCTACTAGTGTAATCATCACTTTTCACAACGAGGCCCGATCAGCTCTCCTTCGAACTGTTGTCAGGTATTTCTGCAACATTTTCTTAAACCACAAAGGGCTACCACAAAGTGATAATTCATAGTTTTTCTCGGGGCATTGAACTAGGTGATTATTCTCATTCAATTTCTTTTCTTTTTAGTGTTCTCAAAAAAAGCCCACCACATCTTATTAAGGAAATTATATTAGTAGATGACTACAGCAATGATTGTAAGTACTTTCACAAGGCTGTTATTTAGTGCAATGCATGTGATATTATGTTGTTCTGACAAAAGACTATGGGACTTGTAATCCACACTGCTGGAGTTTTCTGAGTTACTGGGCATATATTCATCTGGGGTGCTAGGTTGATTTTAGTTTCCAAAGCATTTACTTTCTGGCACCTTTAATGCCATAATTTGCCTTAAGTAAGCTGCCTGTTCTATTTTTTCAAGATGAAATTGTCATCATTCAGACTTGCAAAATAGGCTTATAGTGGAAAACTGTAGGAAATCAGATGAGCTTTAGTTCTGAAAATTGGGAACTTTCCAAGGAGGGAAGATTCTTTGTGATCGTTTCTTGATTCAAGATAAAGAATTAACTGGGTTATTTTTCCCCCTTTTCTAGCTGAGGATGGTGCTTTATTAGGTAAAATTGAGAAAGTGAAGATACTGCGAAATGATCGCCGGGAAGGTGAGCATCTTGTTAGGACTGGAAAAAATATGAAGATTAAAGCTTTGTTTAAAAGAGCAGTTTTCTGTTTCTGAACACACTGAATGTAGAAATAATAGTTTGCACAATGGAAGTCAGGCATTTCATCTGATAGCTATTTTAAATTATGTTTTCCAGCTCACTTTTTTTCCTTAATCAACATCTTCCTGGAAGCCTTTCTTAAATCAACAGTTCCGAAGTGGAGATCTGATTTTTCTAATGACTTTCTTGTACTGCTCTAAGTTAAAGTGCCTGAAGATTGTTTCTGTTGAAGTCTTCCTAGGTACTTTATATGGGAAAACTTCTGATTGGTTTACCACTCTTTCTATCAGATTGTTAGGTAGATTAATATCAGAGGGGGGACAATACAGTAGGCAGTACAGCAAAAATGCAATTGGTTGCAAAATGCAATCAAGCCAAGTATGTGTTCTTGATTTTCAGGTTTGATGCGTTCTCGTGTTCGTGGGGCAGATGCAGCACAAGCAAAAGTACTTACATTCTTGGATAGTCACTGTGAATGCAACGAGCACTGGCTGGAGCCTCTCCTGGAGAGAGTAGCTGAGGTTAGTTGCGAGAAATAATCTTAATGGTCTCTAAGAATGGGCCTCTGGATTCTGTTTTGCATTGAAAAGTACAGGCGGTCCACCACTTTACAACCATTCATTTAGTGACCATTCGAAGTTACAACGGCACTAAAAAAAAAGTGACTTATGAACATTTTTCACATTAACAACTGTTGCAACATCTCCAGGATAAAAATTCAGGCGCTGGCAACTGACTCATATTTGTGTTGGTTGCAGTGTCCTGGGGTCATGTGATCACTTTTTGTAACCTCCCGACAAGTAAAGTCAATGGGGAAGACAGTTAACAACTGTGCTACTAAGTTAACAACTGCAGTGATTCACTTAGCAAAGTTGTAAAATGGGGCAGAGCTCACTTAACAACTATCTTGCTTAGCAACAGAAATTTGGGGCTCAATTCTGCTTATAAGTTGGCTATCTGAAGTAGCCTTCATTTAATTTTAAGCAGTACTTTCATGGTTTGTTTTTTTAAATAAGTTTATTGACTGAATTCTAAATTGAAGAAGTGGTTCTGAAACATGATGATGATGATGATGATGATGATGAAGAAGGAGGAGGAAGAGGGGGAGAAGAAGGAGGAGGAGAAGGAGAAGAAGAAGAAGAAGAAGAAGAAGAAGAAGAAGAAGAAGAAGAAGAAGAAGAA